CGATTTCTAAAAAGTCTGACCTGCCGATTCCGATTTTGGCCGATACTGATTTTGTTTTATAAGCGACACTGTCGGGAGTCATAAGGTCCCAATGCACCTTCAATTTTCTAATCTAATTTTGTTGAAAAACAGACCCTTGAACAATATCCTAGAAACAATACAGACTTGTTTTAACTGGCCATGAGGTAGTGCTCTGAAATATAAATGAAGTTCAGACAATTGCTGTTAAAACTTTTTTAAAAATCTGTAAAATCCGTTTCTCATTTAAGCACTGGCCGATTTCCGATTTCCCAAAATTAAGGAAATAGGGGCCGATAAATCGGTTCAGTCATAATCAGTTATAATCATCAACATTAAAAGAAATAAACATTTGAAATATATCAGTCTGTGTGTAATGAATTAATATAATATACAAGTTTCACTTTTTGAATGAAATTACTGAAATTAATTAACTTTTTCGTGATATTCTAACTTTATGACCAGCACCTGTTTGTTTCCATACAATGGTGAAATTAGTTCTCTGCACTGAACCCATCACACCTGAGATACACCCAGGTGGAGCAGTGGGCACAATCAAATAAAAATACACAGATTTTAAACTTTACTGTCTATATTAACATTACTATTGAACTTTACCTGGTGTTGGTTTCACTCCTTGGACTGCCTTTCCTGAAAGGAAAATGGGTGATTAAATAAAATTTAAAGAATTCTTTATCATATTTATACCATTTGTTACGATCAGCACCTCCAAACCCGATGCCCTTAAGGCTTCAGTGTACTCGCGTGTCCTGTCAGCCACGCGGAAACTGTGCGCATTGTCCGTAGAGGATTCAGACTTCATACTCGAGCGTCCACTCTGAGCAGCCGTTGTCAGCTCCACAGACAAGGTGCGTTTACCTTCGGGACAAATTGAGGTCGCCGAATGGTCATTTGCTGACACGCCTACCGGACTGATTGACAGGTCGCAACAAACAAAAAAAACGAAGCAGTGTTTTTATGTTGTTAATAAAAAGTTCTTAAAAAAAAAAACAGGGAGCGCTGGCCCTGCAGCCCACACATCAGACCGGCCCACAGGGAAATCTCCAGACCATCCTGCAGCCACGCTGGACTTGATTTTAATTTGCTCAAGACAAATTCCTTCATTTCTCACCATTTCAGTCATGGTGTCAACGGACGAGGAGGAAGAGAGCGCTTGCCTTTTGGCAAAAAAACAAAAGGCCATTAAACCAGATCAGGGAGGAAGAAGGGAAATTTAATACATCGGTGTCGCATACAAAACAGTCCGTCGCCGGGCAGTTTATTGTGCGACGCCGAATACGCGTACGCAGTCGTACAAATTGATCTTTGCACGGACATACCCTGCAGGTGTCCGCTTCGACTCTAATCTGG